GAGTTCCGCTCTGTAGTAAACAATTGAAGCACAGGTTAGCGAGCTGTTGACCATGTTCAGTTTTACCTGCCTGCCCTCCTGCCCTCCCTTGTTGCGCTCGAGGGTGGGATGGGATGCTGGCTGTTGAGTGCGGGTGGGTCCTTGCCAACTCGGGGAGAAGCAATGTCAACGTACCATTGTCGATTTTATTGAAAGGGTAAGTAAAGAGTGTGAAGAAGGAATCGACGAGATGGGTGCGCGCAAGTGATGACCAGTGACTGTGTGAATGAAAAGGCCGATGTAAAAGAAGGGTCGTGGGGGATTGTGGGAAGGAGGTCGAGATGAGGTAAGGCCAGTTAGGTGGTAGCTCTAGGTGCTGTATTGGATCCTCCGATCGGGAAAATTGTCGTCGCGATTTCAGGGGACGAGGGCGCGCCTGCACCGGACCTCTATGGCTGCGCTAAATGGGAGCTGCCACGGTTGACTGATTGACTTGAAGTGGTCGGTGGACCTGCCAGATACCTTAGGTTCCCCCTGCGCTTGGGAAGCTCCAGCCGCATGGTCTGTGCTCCCTCTGTCCCATAGTGGGTTCCCTTCACTCCCCAGCCACACTTGGATTTTTAGGTAACTCTTGCCTGGCGATCCTGTTGCGTCAAAGCAGCAGTAACTTTTTCCAACCCAGCCAAAAGGAAAAACAAGACCTCCAGCAACCAGCGCATCTCCGATTCGGCTGCCGCCATTTCTCTGCGTCGCAAGGCTCCCCGGCTTGATTCTCAATCATCCACAGGGCTCTGAGGACGTCAGAACAGAGGCAAGATGGCATCGGCAGACGTTGGCTCCCCGAGCTTCGAGCGCCGCGAACGCGATGGCGAAATGGAAAACGACCGCGACGGCGGCGACCGTCGGCACCACCGCGACAACCGCGACAACGATCGCCCCCGCAATCGAGACCGCGATCGAACCGATAGCTACCGCCCGGCTCCCAAAGAGCAACGACGCCCGACGCCGCCGATGAAGACGGAGGAGGAGAAGCAGGCCATCGCAAAGGCCGAGTACGAGAAGCTGCTGTCGATGCGGTCCGGAGGCACCTACATACCACCCGCGCGACTGAGAGCGCTGCAAGCTCAGATCACCGATAAGAGCTCCAAGGAATATCAGAGGCTGATGTGGGAGGCGCTGAAGAAGAGTATCAATGGTCTGATCAACAAGGTCAACTACTCCAACATCAAGCACATTGTTCCCGAGCTCTTTGGCGAGAACCTGATCAAGGGCCGCGGCTTGTTCTGTCGATCTATCATGAAGGCGCAGGCGGCTTCTCTACCATTTACGCCCGTCTTCGCCGCCATGGTGGCCATTGTCAACACGAAGCTGCCTGCCGTCGGCGAGCTCCTGGTCAAGCGCCTCATCATGTCCTTCCGAAAGGGTTTCAAGCGCAGCGACAAGGCTGTCTGCGTTTCGTCCACGACATTCCTGGCGCATCTTGTCAACCACCAGGTCGCCCACGAGCGACTCGCTGGTCAGATGCTCCTTCTTCTCCTTCACAAGCCGACGGACGACAGCGTCGAGATCGCCGTCAACTTCATGCGCGAAGTTGGACAACACTTGCAGGATATGCAGCCCGCAATCGCCCTCGCGGTCTGGGATCAGCTGAGGAATGTGCTGCACGAGGCGGATATCGACAAGCGTGTGCAGTACATGATTGAGGTGCTATTCCAGGTTCGCAAGGACAACTTCAAGGACAACCCGCCCATCAAGGAGGAACTCGACTTGGTCGAGGAGGAGGATCAAATTACGCACTTGGTCGACCTGGACGGTGAAATCGACGTACAGGATGGCCTCAACATCTTCAAGTACGACGCGGAGTGGGAGGAGCATGAGGAAGCTTACAAGAAGCTCAAGGCCGAGATCTTGGGTGAGGGCAGCGACTACGATGACGACGATGACGATGAGGATGAGAGTTCCGAGGAGGAGGACGACGAAGAGGAGAAGGCAATGGAGATCAAGGACCAGTCCAACACCGATTTGGTAAACCTGCGCCGTACCATCTACCTGACGGTCATGTCGTCCATCGACCCTGAGGAAGCGGTTCACAAGCTTTTGCGGGTAAACCTCCCGGCTGGCCAAGAAGCGGAGCTGCCCTCGATGATTGTCGAGATTTGTTCCCAGGAAAAGACCTTTTCAAAGTTTCACGGCCTGATTGGAGAGCGTTTTGCCAAGCTTAACAGGTTATGGACCGGTCTCTTTGAAGAATCCTTTGCCGACTACTACAGCAAGATCCACCGATACGAGACCAACAGGCTTCGCAACGTTGCGCGCTTCTTTGCGCATTTGCTTGCAACCGATGCCATTGGCTGGCACGTACTCTCCGTTATTCACCTCAATGAGGAAGAGACAACGAGTAGTTCCAGAATTTTCATCAAGATTCTCTTCCAGGACATCTCTGAGGAGCTTGGTATGGCAAAACTGCAAGCTCGGATGAAGGACGAGATCCTACAACCCAGCTTCACCGGCCTGTTCCCGCGCGACAACCCACGAAATATTCGCTTCTCCATCAACTACTTTACCAGTATTGGCATGGGTGCTCTCACAGAGGCTTCTCGCGAGTACCTCCAGAACATGCCCAAGCCAGCTTTACCTGCACCACCGGCTGATGATTCCGACTCGGAGTCGGTGTCTAGCTACTCTTCGTACACGGGCTCCTCATACTCCCGCTCTCGATCAAGGTCGCGGACGCCTCGACGCGCCATTGATCGCAAGCATGCTGGCTCCAGATCTCCTTCGCCCCGCGGACGGGGCCGGTCGTACAGCCGAGGTCGCAGCTCTAGCAGATCTCGATCTTACAGTCGTTCAGTCTCGCCTCCCAGAAAGGGACGCCGCGACGACTCGTACTCGGCGAGTCCTCCGAGAAGACGCGGTCGTTCTGCCAGCTACTCAAGATCCCCTTCTCCGGCCCGAAATGGTCCTAGGGATCGTAGTCTCAGCGTGACACCGCCACCTCGCCGAGCAGCCCGGAGGAACAGCTCAAGCGTCAGCAGATCTCCTTCGCCAAGGAGAGGACGTTCAATTTCGCGCTCTGCTAGCCCCCCGCTTGCACGAGGCGTACCTGTCCGCGGTCGTAGTCCAGGGCAAGAAGCGCGTCGCCCAGCCAGGCGGAATAGTTCGTCTGTGAGCAGCGCGCCGCGGAAACGCGCCCGCTACGACAGTCGTTCTCCTAGTCGGTCGCCGAGCCGTGGGTCATCATATGACTCGCGGTCTCGCTCCCCCGTAGACCGTCGTGGGCCGAGAGACAGCCGCTCACCTGTTGCCCTGAGGGCACGGGACGGTGACAGCGCCTCAGCAGCCCCGCCGAGGGCGAGGAATGAAGGCCGGGATGCGTCGTACTCTCGCTCGCCGAGTCCCCCGCCCAAGAGGTCACTCAAGCGGGGTTCACCGGATCGAGGTCGGAATTCGAGGAGCCCCATGAGCGCGAAGCGGAGGAGATACAGCGATTCGGTTTCGAGGTCGAGAAGCCCGCCGCCGCTGAAGAAGGGGCGGAGATGAGTGAGGTTGAGAATGACAATGAAAGCGGGCTGGAGTGTGTATAATGGATTCGCAAGGGTGGATAGGTTGTGCAATGTCCAATGTTTAAAGCATGGCATGGGTCAGATTGATATTTGTATAGCTAAGTCAAGATTAGGAATGGGGATGGTGCCAATGTTCATTGGTGAATTTGCTGCCTTTGGGCGGCTTCTCGAAGTGCTTGCTTGCCTCCTTCTGTGTGATTATTGTCGAGTTGATCATGTAGGATGCGGCTACAGATTGCTCCTATCTTACTTCAGGATGCAATTATGTGACGAGTGAGTGCGTTACGAGCCCAAGCTCGAAGGGGTTACCATCTTACTGCTGCTCTCTTACCCCATGCTACCAACCAACAGGAGAAACTGCGAGAAGTCATGTAAGTAAAACAAACAAACTACAACAAATTCGTGCAAAAAACGACGTGAAAGTTTGAAACTAGCATTGGACTCGATGTCTGTCAAACACTTTGCGAAAATAGCAAAAGAGAACAAGCGCAGGTGCGATGTATCGGGTTATTGTGGACGATCAGGGGATTGAACCCTGGGCCTCCCGCAAACGCTGAAGAAATGCAAAGCGGGCGCTCTACCACTGAGCTAAACGCCCCGAGGTGTTGGATGATCTCTGCGCTCTGGCTAGGGCCTAAGTCTGAGGCTAAGCGTGAGGGGGGTTCAGGTAGTGGAGTTTCTCAGTGGAGTTTAGTCTGTCCTTGGGTGGTGTCAGCAGGCGAGGGTCTGGAGAGTCTGGCGAGTCGCTGGGCAGCTTTGGGTATCTAGAGGGGCGACCAAAATTTGGTCGTCGGTCTGGGAGCGGAATTCGAGTTTGTAGAGTGGTTTGTTTTGCGTTTGCGGTTGATCTTGATTCGAGTTGCGTCGTCTTGTGGTGCGGTATGAGTGGTCCGGCCTATTCTGCTTTGGCGCATCTTGAAGTGGTGTTCCAGGTGGTGTAAGTCAGGTACGGGTCATTGTCTATTTGTGCCCCCTATCTGTGCCTTGTGGCAAGTAGCTTCGTTTTTCATCTTTCCCAGAGTATTCGTCAGTGGTGCTGGCAAAGGAGCAGGGTGAGGGAATATGTGATATTGCCTACTCACCTAAAGGTGAATATCATGCGGCAACGGGAGGAGGAGGTATGTCATCATTTACATCGACCCCGAGTACTGCTCTGACACTGGGATAGCCCGTCGAGTGATCTCTGAAGGTCGTCAAGTCAGGGAACATTGTTTTCAACATCGCCCTACATTTAGGGAGAGCTTTTATTATACAAATCGCTATGAAGCTTGAATAAATACAGAATGTTCCTTCCTATAGAAGAAACATGCATCTCGTACATGGGATGATATCCAGACGCTAATCGCCCTCATCTACCAGAACTCGTGGTCATCCAACCACCATTTTCATCTCAAATACATCCCGGAGTTCGATCTCGGCTCCTCCATATACCTTGACACGATTCTTCCCCGTAAGATCCTATCCAAGAAGAACCTCGATCCGGTCTCTCGCAACCGCATCCCACACCCTCTGCACAACATGTCCAAGCCCCCTCCGGTAACACACCCCGCCAACCCTCTCCACCCAGAGCACATTAACAAAGTCCACAATCTCGTCCTCGTCCATGTTATCCCGGAACGCATCCAGGTCAAACACATGACTCCCCCCTCTCTCGCTCGCCATCGACACGGCCACGAACTCGAGCTTTTCTTCCCCCGTATGATTCGCCCCCTGCAAGCCCAACCAGCTATCGTGCGCCGTCACCACGCCGCACCACTTGCCCGTCCTCGACCAGATATTCCCTACCGCCAACGGGACGCCGTACCCTCGTCCGGGCGCCACCAAGCCCGTGCCAGGCCCCGTGTTGTTCCCTGAGTTCACCGCGTTGGCCGCTTTCGCATCGAGCGGCGCCCCGTTCCTAGCCACGGCGAAGTCGACGTCCAGGTACGCCACCGTCGTGCTGAACGAAAGCAGCGTGGCGCTCAGCGCAAAGTCCCCAAACGGCGACAATCCCGGCCCCGGGATGGCTCCGTCCGCTCCTCCTCCACCTCCGCCAGCCATCTCCGCCACGGGCACCGGGTACCGAAACATAACCTCCGGATCCCCTGCATACCGGAACCCGCCACCGCTCCTCGACCACCCAGCAGGCAACGGCACCGTTCTCCGATGCCTCCGATCCCGGTACGCCATCCCATCATTCGGCAACGGCGTATACGTCGCCCGGTCCGTGAGCTCATAACTCACCAACGACCGCAACCGGAACGCGTAAGGGCTCTTGAACCTTCTCTCCGCGCCCCTCTTGCCGTGATGCGCAGGCGCCTCCTGGACGTAATCCGCCGCCGCCCGCCAGAGCGTCAGGTCCGCGGGCACGCCGTCGTAGTGCCACCCGAGCCAGCTCCACGACGGCAGCGGGTTCATCCCGGTCACGGGCTGCACCATCAGCCGCCGCCGCACCATCGCCCTCGGCTGCCACAGCATCGCGACGTCCAGGAAGCTCACCGGCATACCGAACACGAAGCCGCCCGCAAACGACCGCGACAGCACCGTCGTGATGCCCCGCAGCGCCCTCGTGGTATCCGACATGAGCGTCACCCGCCGCGCGCTAAACTCCATCGCGATCCGCGCATACTCGTCCATGTCGGGCCACACGGGGTGCAGGTACCCCGTCGCCGCGGGGAACGTCCTCGACGCACACGGCCCCCCGCCGCCGCCGTGCCTCCCCAGCCCTCCGCCCTTGAGGATCTTGCTGAACCTGCCGCCGCCCGCTGCGCCCGGCGGCCCTTGCCACAAGTCGCAGTGGCACTCCCACGTCACCGTCTCCTCGAAAACGTACACCTTCCGCCGCGAGTACATGCCCTCCTGCACCGTCCACGCCCGCCCCGCCCACCGCGACGAGAGCACCAAATCTTCGTGCTTCCTCGCCGCGGTGCCCCTCGGCGGCGGCGTCCTCCGCAACAACCCCGTCAGCCCGGACTCGGCGTCGCCCGCGGCCGCCACGATGGTCATGTAGGCGTTGGCGTACACGTATGCCATATTCTTGACGTACTCCTCCCTTTCCACGTCGTCGTCCTGCACTATACAAAACCGGTCGACCCAGAGGTACTTAATCCCCAGCTTCCTTGCCAACCACATGGCATCCAGAATCGTCTGCGGGATATCCGCGTCATCCATGCTCGCCGTCAACACTTCGAGGTTCTCCCGCAACGTCTCCACGGGACCCCGCGATGAAGGCAGCGGCGGCTCGTAGACGTAGCTGAGCGCGATATACCGATCCGTCGCCCTCGCGCGCACGAGACACCGGTTCACCGAGTCAATCAGCCATATCGGCCGCCACGTATCCGTCGGCGGGCCGGAGCAGTGGTCGCCATGCTCGGCATTGCACGTGTCGAGCCACTCGCGCACCCTGCCGACGGGGTTGAACGCCTTGCTCGCCGTCGAGGCCGATGATGCGCGACGCGAGGGGAGCGTGGATGCCGCCGCCGCGGCTGCGGCCCCGACGCCCGGCGGATGATCCCCCGCTCCGCGCGCCGCGCCCGACCGCGCCGCTGTCCAGGTGCTCATGAGCCGCTCCGTGATGCTCTGCCGTTTTGCGCCGTTGTTGGCGCTGTTGGGGGGCACGCTCTGCTGTCTCCTGGCGTGGCCGTTGACGGTGCTGCGGCCTCCTTCTCCCCCTCCGCCGTGGTACTTTTCGTCTAACGCGAAGCTCTGCCGCTTTCGTTCCCTTATACGAGGGCTGTCTCGTAGGCGAGGGCTGTCCCTCAGAGGAGGGCTGTCGCGCAGACTTCTGTCACTGTCTCTGTCTCTGTCGTAGTCCCTGTCGCGGTTCCTGTCCCTGTCTCTGTCTCTGTCCCGATCTCGATCCTGGTCCCTATCCAGTGGCGGTGATGGCGGTAGGCCTCCTCCTCCCCCTCCTCCCCGTCGCCTCGGGTCCGGACCCCGAGATCTATCCCTGTCGCGATCCCTATCCCTATCCCGATCACGCTCACGTTCACGCAAGTCGCGATGCCGTTCCGCACGAATATCTCTCTCCCTGCTCCCCCTAGGCGGCGGCGGAACGTGTTGCTGTGAGCGTCGCTGCGGCGGCGGCGTAGGTGTATGGGGTCTATATCTGCCGCCGGCGGGGGTGGTGCCGTCGCGGTGATGACGCTTCTTGTCGTCGTGGTTGTGGTCGGTACCTGAGTCCTCCTCATCCGACATTGAGCTGGCCGAACTTTCGTCGTCGGATATTACCACTACGCCAGCTGGCCCATCTCCTTCTCGTCTGGTCGTCGCTCCTGGTGGTGGTGGTGGTGCCGCACCGCTGCTGCGGTCGGCGGACGGACTCGGGTGGTCCATTGCCTTATACTCTGGACAATCCACAAACCCCAATTCCCTTTTGTCTCCGCAAAGCGCAAAGTCCCTCTCTTTGATTTCCCGTCCGTCGTATGAGATTTGCGCGCTGCTGCTGCAGATGCAAGCTGTAAATGCAAAAATGCGCGGCCGCTAATGCGCTGCGCTGCGTTGCGCTCGCCGCCGAGCTTTGAGCGTATTATTACTGAGGCTTGGTTCCGCAGCAACGGGAATCCGGTCCTTTGGGGTTAACCTGTTCCTAGTTCCTCCTCTCCCTCACGAAAAGAGGTCTGTTTCTCCTTGGCTTTTGCTGTTGCGCCGTGACACTAGTGAAGTGTGGCTCGGTGAGACCGTGCGAAACGGAGCTTTTCTTCACAGGAGTGCGCGCGGGAAATTTCGTTATGCAGGGCAGAGACCAAACAAAAGGAGTGGAAGAATCACGGGCGTTGCGCTGATATTAAAGTGATGACCAAAGTCCGATGGATGATGGTGATGAGGTGCTCGATTGCTTGCGATGAAATTGGGCTTGAAGATGGATGACATGAGATGACATGTTCGTTGCGTGTGAGTGTGTATTGCGACGAGATTGAAAATGAAAGCCTTTTTGCGACAAGGCATGTGTACGCGCAACGCCACGCAACGTCAGTCAGTCAGTGAGACTGGAAGGTGCGATATGAGAGGTGCGGCGCGAGATGAGTGTGGTGAGCAGCAGGTGAGAGGTGAGAGGTCGAAAAAGGCACCGCCACCCCCGGCCCGCCCGTTCAGAAACCTAGGCCCAACCTCGATCGTTTCTCCCCCCCAGCCCCCTCTATTACAACCAAATTAAACAAGACACATTGGGCATGAAAATCGATGCTCTTTTTCTTCCTTACGATGGATCAAATGGTCGGGCCGTCTTAATTTACAGGGCCATTCCCTACCTTGCCTGATGATCTCCCAACATGTTATTAGCCGAGCACGTCAATACCCAAAAAGCAATCAACCCTTGCGAATGTTGATGGATGACAGGTAGCTCGATTGATCGACTGTTTACTATGTATCCATTCGTGTACATCAAACACCACGGTATTGGCTACCAGACAATTGGAATACACCTCATGCGTTCAGGTCCATCGTACTCACATCTATTAAAATACATTTGCTTGCTAGTCTAACAAACTTCGCAACGGGTCTCTGCCATCGTCAACCGGGACAGAACCTTCCCCCTTCGTCGCCATCCATCACCGTTCAACTAATTCCCTCTGCGGCCTCATTTCTGGCCCATGGTATTTGTATCGAGTGCCGTTCCCGCCGTTACCTGTACACGTTCCAAAAGCCTCCCAATCCTGTACGCCTGTAAATGTGCAACAGTCTTTGATGTTTTCGCAGTTTGAGTAGACCACTGCTTTGCGTTTGCCGTTGGTCGCCTCTCGACTGTATGCCATCGCCATTTTCTTTTTAGCATCAAACCCCCGAAAGAAAAAAAAACCCTCACAAACGTCATTAAACGTCAACTGTGACCACTGAAACGTAGAAACCAATAAACCCCCATTCGGCTACTCCTGGTCGCTTTGCGCACCGTTGCTTGCTCCGTTTGTCTCTTTGGCGCCGTTGGAGGCCGAAGAAATCAACTTGATCCTCGTGGTGGAGGTTGCTGGTTGAGGGGTTCCGACGCTCGCACTCGCGCTAGGCGCCACTGAGCCCTCCTTGCCACCGTCGCTTTCCAGCTCTTGCAACTCTGCATGCTTGTCGAGAGCCTTTTGGAGTTCTTCGTGGAAGAATTTCTGTGCATGTCAGGTTGAATGTTCACAAAAAGAGTCAAGAAAGTTACTAACCTGGAGAGTAAGAGAGTCCTGGTAGAGAAGCGATGCCTCCTCGTTGTAGGTCTGGCAGTTGCGGAACATGAGGTCGACATCCTTGCGCATATCGCCGAGGCTGTGGTACTGCTGCTTCTTGATCTTGGTCTCAATCTGCTTCATCGAAATAGGAGTTTGAATGATCAAGTAGTAGTCGGCGTAGTCGCGCTTGGGTGGCAGAGCAAGGAAGGGCCCAATGATGATTCGCTTGCCCGCAACCGACTCGTCATCATCCTCCTCTGGTGGCTCCGGATCATCTACCTCAAGGTTCATGAGTCCGTCGAAGAGAGCCCTCGTGTTTACCTGCAGGAGTTGGCGTTGCTGAGCCGATACTCGCGGCGTCTCGGAACCAACAGAGACCGACACCGCCTTGGCTCTACCTTGTGGGCCACGACGCTTCTTAGCCGGAGGCTCATCGTCCCCTTCTTCTGCCTTCCGCTTCTCTTGGTTCTTCGCGGCTCCTTTTCGGCCTCTCTTCTTGGGTGTTTCCACCTCCTCCGTGCTGGCACGACTTGCAGGGGGAGAGTCGTCAGCAGCATTGGCCATAGCGGACCTCTTGAGCCTGTTGGTCTCCCGCTTGTCTTTGCGGGCTTGCTTCCGTGCTGCTGCCGCCTCTGGTGAGTCGTCGTCATCGTCGACAGCCATGAGCCACTGCTCTTCCGTGAGACCGTCATCGTAGCGAACCTTAGTTCGCTCACGAGCTCCACGTCCAAGACTTGTCTCAATCTCCTCTTCAATCGGGTTGCCATCACCCAGGTAGATCTCAGGAAGTTCATCCTCCGCGAGTAGACGAGGCTTAATCTTTGCTCCAGCTGCCTCGCCATAGGTTGGGTCTAGCTTCCGCTCCTCGTCGAGTTTCTGGAAAACAGCCACTTCATCGTCGCTACGAGCGAGGAGCAAGTTCAGCTCCTCGTCGTCCATCTCGTCCTGGTCTCCAGTCTCCGCCATGTCGGCGCTTTCTAGAAGGGTACGCAGCATAGCATCACGATCCGTTTCTGTCGACTTGTTGTCGAAGCGACCGGCTTGAATGACCTTGCCGTCCATGTCAAGCTTGAACCTGGCTCTTTCCAAGATCTTCTCTTCGACCGAGTTCGAACTGATGAGGCGAAGAATTCGAACCTCATTCTTCTGTCCGATACGATGAGCACGATCCTGAGCCTGCAAATCTTGATGAGGATTCCAATCGGAGTCGTAGATGATGACAGTGTCAGCAGTCTGCAGGTTCAGACCAAGACCACCAGCACGAGTCGACAACAAGAACATGAAGTAGTCTGAGCCGGGAGCATTGAACTCGCGCAGCAAATCAGAACGCTCATCTGACTTGGTTGTACCATCCAGACGAAGATACTTGAGGTTGCGGTATCTGAGGTAGTCCTCCATGATGTCCATGATGGCCGTCATTTGGAAGAACATGAGAACGCGATGGCCCGTTGCCTTGTACTTGGGCAGGATTCTGTCGAGAAGCTCAAATTTGCCGGCGGTTCTCCATAGCAAGTCGTTGCTGATGCTCATAGGATTCATGAGATTCTCGACCTCATCAAACACAAATGGATGGTTGCAAAGCTTGCGAAGCTGCATGATCATGTTGCTCAAGCCGCGAGCACCAGCCTTGCCACCCTGTCCGTCGCTGACGAGGATCCTGTTGTGCGTGACCATCTGCTTGTAAAGCTTAGATTGCAAAGCAGAGAACTTGCACTTGATGACCTTCTCGGTCTTGTCCGGAAGATCCTTTTCGACATCCTTCTTCAGACGACGGAGCAAGAAAGGACGCAGCACCTTGTGCAGACGACGAATGACGAGAATCTGTTCTTCTTCCGTGAGTTCCATCTTGTCTTGTCCACCAGTGTTGGCAAAAGGTGTGTTGAACCACTCGTCAAAGGTTGTCGCAGACTTGAAAATGGTCGGTAGCGTGAAGTTGAGCATAGCCCACAGTTCCGTAAGGTTGTTCTGGAGCGGTGTACCAGTCAAGATGAGACGGAATCGGGTGTTGTAGTATTGCTGGATAGTAGTTGTCAACTTGGAGTTCTGGTTCTTCATACGGTGACCTTCGTCAATGATCATGTGGAACCACTTGATCTTGCTGAGAATTGGGCGATCCTTAATAATGTACTCGTAAGTCGTGAGCAACACCTGGAAACGTCCTTGGCGGATCTTGTCCTGGTGCACTTTTCTGGCCAGAGGAGGACCCTTGTAGACAATCTTGCTCACAGAAGGCGCCCATTTCTCGAACTCGAGTGTCCAGTTGGTCAAAGTACTGAGGGGTACAATGACCAGGTAGGGGCCATCCTGCTTCTTGCGCTCGATGAGATACGTGATCAAACTGATGGTTTGAATAGTCTTGCCGAGACCCATCTCGTCGGCAAGAATACCGTTCAGGTTGTTGTTGTACAGGGAAATCATCCACTGCAGACCCTTGACCTGGTATTCCTTGAGCTTACCACCCACCAGGATATCGGCCTGTTCTGTGACCTCTTCCTTGATGCGATGGGCGACGGCGTAGTAGTCGATCTTTCGTCCACTTGTGTCGTCGTCATCCTCATCGGGTTCGCTCTCTTCTTCTTCCTCCTCTGGAAGCTCCTCCTCTTCGCCAGTCTGCTCCAGCAGGGCCTTCCTTTGCTGAGACTTGACGGAAGCAGCGAGTTGCCGCAAGAACCCATCGGTCTGTCTGAGAAGGTGGGTAATACGGGTGTCCTTGGCTTCGTCAAGCAACTTGAGATAAGCCTCTTCATCGTTGGCCTTAAGAGCCTGCAGACGCTGCTTGGCAGTACGCTCAATCCTCTTTTGCTCTTCCTTTTCAATGTTGTAGTGCTGGGCAAACATGAGCTTATTGAGTTTGGTGGACTTATTGCGCTGGCTTGATGCGGTTTGTTGAATCTCGTTTCTGTGTTGAGTAATGGCGGCCAAGAAGTCAGTGTGCCTCTTCTTCTCGCGGTTCTCCCGGATATCACGCTGCTGCTTCTCAAGCTTCTCTGTGATTCTGGCCTCGCGAACCGTCATCTTCTTTGTGCGGCGGTATCCGGAGCGGTTGGTCGTCATTGCAAGGTTGTCATAGAACATCATCGAGCGGCCAATCTTATCCCGCAGCGCCTTCTGCTTCGCGTACAAGCCGAGGCTCTTCATCTCAATGATCGCCTTGACCTTTGCACTATCATCCAATTCAACGTCGTCCTTGGTGGTATCCCAGTGAGCAATATTTGCTGGGGTGTTTCTGAGCTCGGCAAACCGATCTCTCATGCGGTTGAACACAATCAGCTCCCTCTCGTACCGTAGCTGGTCGAAGTCGACACCAGTGGGGAACAATCCCGGGATAAGCTTGCGATTTTTCCGTTGAGTATGGTCGAAATGGCTAATCGACTTGCGAATCAGGTTGTTATCGCCGTAAGGGGACCTGACGGTCTTGAAGGTGGGCCCTTGGACCTCGGGAGTAGATTCAGACTTGGCTTCGGACCCATTGATGCCGGGCTGTGCAGAGTCTCGACTAGTCGTTGCGGGTGTTGATGAAGCTGCCAGCGCGGCAGCCTCGGCGGCGATGGCTTTCCTGCGCTCTCGCTGAGCAAAGATGGCTTGCTGCATCTGTAGGGGAACTCCAGCATTCTTGGTCAACAGCTTGAAGGCGTGGATCTGTTGTCTAAGCAAACTCAATTGTTGCGGGTTGAACTGGCCAGCACCTGGGCCGCTGGAAGGAGCAGCTGTCGAGGGGGATCCAGCGGCGGCAGCAGCATTTGAGTTGGCTGCAGGAAGCGCCGAGGCGCTGAGCGCGCTTGATGTAGGAGGTTGTGTCGACTGGGGGTGCTGCTGGGCGGGCTGCGAGCCATTGACAGCGCCGTTGAGGCCACCAGCCTGCTGCATCTGTCGCTGCTGTTGCATCTGTTGTTGTTGTTGCTGCTGATGCTGGAGAAATTGTTGTTGCTTCTGTCGCATACGCGCTTGTTGTTGGAAGGACAAGACGAACTGCTCGGCCTTGATGTATTCGGGATCGGTGTTGGGGACGCCGCTCTCCCTCATCTGCTTGAATTTCTTTGGTGTGTTAGCATCGTAAGATTACATCGAATTTTGACATATCATCAGAGTATGTGAGGGATGCGGTCATTATGAAGAAAAGGCTCTTACATTGAAAATCTCTTGAGCCTGTTGAGGAGTGGTGGTCGCCATGCCGGCGCCAGGGAGCTGGACGGCAGGCGCAGCTTGTACTGAAGCCATGGTGGGCGATGTGTGTATTCCAGCAAATCTAACGACTGCGGGAATCTCTAGAGATGCGACGACAATCTCGCGCGCATTATCATGCAAAGGCGTTGTAGGTGTAGACAAGTGGAGCCTTATTGAAGGTTTGTCGCGCTTGGCTCGTCGCGAAATGAGAGACTAGAAGGCTATTGGTGATAAGGACGGGAAATGCAGCGCGTCGGTATCGAAAACACAAGGTTTGGGGATGGCGATGTGGTTCGGAGACGGCAAGGTTGATGCCGTGGTCGGAACGGAAACACGTCGGTCGCGTAGAATCGAATTCACCGAGATGGCGGATGGAGTTCAGCGGCAGAGACGATGGATGGGGGACGCGAATGCGGTGCCGCGAAGCGTGGGGGGGGAATGGGTGGAAGGGTGAACAGGACGTGATGCGAAAAAAACGGGAGTTAGTCGGAAGGGCGCGACGTCGGGGCGTTGCCTCGAGCAATATGCGCGAGGAAATCGCGTGGAATAGGTTGCTGGACACTTTCCGAGATGGGTGTCGATGCCTGTAGAGGGGGGATGGCGATTTTTCGATGCGCGCGGTGCCGGTTGAGATGGAGAGGTGAGGACAACGACAAGATTCATTGATGGTTGGTGCGGACTCTGTGAAACTGAGTCCCCGTAATTTTCAGCACCGCAACAAGTTGTTGCCTGAGGCGTCTACACTAATCTGCTTATGTACAAGCGAGGGCGCTTGGGCCAACTCGTTCCCTGGTTTACTGCAGGCAGGCAGCGGCCGGCCTGGTCGGCCACTGGTTGGCTTCGGGTACTATCCGGGCCACATGCGCGCCTCAAACCGTGGCCTGTCAGGTTCATCGGCCACCAAGGAATGCCAGATCCACGCCGCTTGGCATCTGTCGTCGTTCGTTTGCAGCAAGGTGAAGAAAAATGTTTAGGTTGTCGGCGCATCGGAGGCGCGTCTTTCTCTCGTAGACCCCATACTATTTCCTCAGACGCGCGTTGGCTGGAGTACCTACCCCGGGCCAGGCCGGGTGAGTTGGCCGTGGCGGGGACGTCCACACACTCCCGTTCTGCAAGTGTCAGCGGCTTTGCGTGTCTCCATGTTTGGGGGTTGCTCCCAGCGAAGCTAATCTGACGGAAAGATGAACAAGTGGAGAGATCCTTCCAGGGATGCAGGCCGAATGGCAGGCTTGCCATTTCCCTGGTGTTTCTCTCCGTAACCATATCCCAAATGCAACCCGGATTGATCAGCCAGCACTGCTCCAAACCTTCCTTCGTCCAAATTTAAGCTCATACTCTTGTCATGATTCCCCACGAAATCATACAATGAGACCCGATAGTAGCAGCGCAAAATTCTCACCGCTTCACCCTTTTCTTGTCCGGCTCCCCTTCGTCGTCACTCACATCCGCGTATTGAGTGACGGGCTGGGTCGTCTGCCACGCCGCAGTAAACATTGGGTCTTTCTTTGCAGCATCGGCATATTTCAGCAGTGCCTCTCTGGGGTCTTCGTGAAGCATCTTGGCGAGAGGAATGTTCTCTGCAATGTGCTTTTCGTCCGGCTGGTTTCGCATGAAAGGCGTTTGCTCCAAGACTGCTGGTCTTCTGGGATCCTTGGACTTGCCTGAAGCTGTGACTCCCGCATTTCTGCGGCTAGCCATTGCGCTTCCTGGTGTGATGATAGCATCTCCAGACATTCCCGTCGTCATATCCGTCGTTCGGGACGGATCGTCGTCGATGTGCCTCTTCTTTGGCGCTCGTGACATAACTTCCACAGCGCCCCGCATCGACATTGTCGGGCTGTAAAGCACATGTGTTTCGCCATTCGCAGACCCCGTGATAATCTGATTTATCTTGGGATGCCAGTCAACAGTGATGAGAGGTGCTCCGGGTGTAATTGGTGTGACATGTTCGGCTCTCAGATTTCCGGGATTCAGAATGTGCAGGTCGCCTGTTGCGGAACCTGTCAAAATGCTGGTCGAGTTGGGAGAGTACCTGATGTTGCTCATCGGGAAGTGATCTGACGTCGAAGCATGGTCCACTGTGACAAGAGGCGTCTTGAACTTCCGTGTGTCCCACAACTTGATCGTATTGTCACCTCCGCGGGTGACGACCATACGGCCGTCGGAGGAGATATCCACACCTCCGGTCCAGGTATCGGCTTTGTGGGCGTCTCGAATCTCTGCGGTCGGCCGAGAGAACGGGCTACTGCCGCTGTACATAACCAGTGAGCCGTCTAATGCCGCCGCGACCAACACGTTGTTGCCACCTTGTGCCGGCGCGCCCCAGGCAACCGCCGTCATCCTCGTTCGCCCAGCAGATCCCGCCGCCTTGGACTTGAAGACAATCACGTCCCTCTGACTGCGCTTGTTGTTGATATCCCAGATTCTCAGGGTACTGTCGGTGCCAGCAGTCACACAGAGATTCTTGTCGGTTGGATGCCATGTTCCTGTGGTTACTTCTGAGATGTGCCCCTTGGTGTTGTTCATGTCCCTGAGGTACATGTCGCCCTTGACAAATTCGGTCAAAATGTCGCCGTCTCTCGACATAATCTTTGCCTGCGGGTGTGCCGATACGCAGAGAAACACGCTCCCAGCGAGGGGGTTGAACTCGACGTGGTGGATCGGGTGCGACTCGGCATTCGCGGCAGACGATTTCGCTTCCCATGGATCAACGCTTCGAAATGCTCGTAAAGTACTGGGTGTCATGGACGCGAAGTCGTGCAAGTTGATTTTGCAGTCGAGTGAGGCTGACACGAGTCTTCCACCTGCTGGGTCCAGCGTTACTGTGGTGACTGCTCTTTCGTGGGTTTTCAGTACCAATTCGTGCGAGACTGGGTAGTCGTCGCCATCTTCGGAGTCGTCTGAATCGGAGTCGTCGCTGTCACTGTCATTGTCTGAGTCGGACTTCTTTTCTTTGTGATCAGCACTTGGCGGACCTGCGGATCCCTCAACGGAAGCTCCCGTCGACGGCTTCTCTGCCACTCTCCGGCTCCGATCGATCTGGGCGGCGATGTTGGCTTCCTTTGTCTTTTTTCCAAATGACGCCGGTAGAAACGCGCGCATAGGATCGTCTGCGGCCAACTCGGGGCCTTCGACTACGAAGTCTTCGTCGTCGCTGCTCATTGTTGCAGATTGGTCGGAGATGGGAGGAAAAGGTGTGTCAGGAGGGAAGATTGCGAAAAGGTAACTGAGGTAGGGTCCCCAATTCTAGGTACGGAGGGACCGAGAATCGTACACCAGATGGGGTGATGTCAGGCAGGAGCACTTGGGCAAGGGTCCTGCCACCCTGCCGCGCCTGCTTAGCCCAAGGTTTGCTGGCGGTATCCATATTCCATGGTATCCAAGGTGTTGGTCATAGCGTCCAACGGCGTTATTCCTCCTCCACCTTTTCATGTACGAATATGATGGAACTTGCCTCAAGGCTCAGACTGGTGAATGAACAAGTAGCTTCAATTTTCTATGCAGGCAGGACGTATCTCCGCTACTACGCTTCTTGCGTGTATCTTCATCCCAACAACACATGTTCTTGTTCACCTGCGACGCTTCGCTCCCATTTTTAGATTGGAAGTTCAGGTGAAGTACAGTTTTGGGGCATCTAAGAATACACCACGTTTGCTGGAGCTGAATATGTCTCTTGCTTACTGTAGATGGCAAAATATTCTTTCGAATGAGTCCGTCCGTCAATTCTCGAACGTACCAGCTCCCAGCTGTCATCCGAGGCTACACTCAGGAGCCCACTGTGCCATCTCTACGCAACGCTAAGACGCGATCGCTGCGAGACGCTTAATCTCTTCCTGCTTCATCCGATCCTGAACCTTGAGCCTCTCTGGGATAACTTGCTCCCGTGGCGCCGTTATCTTCCATCCGGGCAGCGACTCGACGCCCAACAACCTCAGGGTGGCCTGCTCCACAAGACTGTACGAACCATCCGCCCTATCAAAGACGTGAGGCTGGTTCAAGAATACCGGTGGATTCGTGATGATACGCAGCCGCCGCAGCGGGTTCCTCGAGGCGCTGTGGAGCATCAACGGATGCAAGAGATACACGTCCCCTACCTCCCCGTGAGCCTCGACAAAGTCACCGCAGCTCCGCGCGAGCTCGTTGAACCAGTCTAGGTTCTTCTCCCTTGAGAAATCGGGATCGTCTCTGGGTACCATCCGCGGCGAGACCCCGTCCGTGTGCTCGTATAGATGCCGTGCGACCCCGGCCATCGCCTCGGGACAGATAAAGGTCCCGCCCCCGCCGGGGACAATGTCCGTGAAGAGCGGGATCACGAGCAGACCTTGCTCTGGGGAGTCAAGATAGTGGACGAAGAAGTCGCCGTCGACGTGCCAGATGCCCAGTTCCTTGGGATCGGGCTCTGTTCCCTCGTATTCCTCGCTACCCAGGTTGACGATGAGAGAGTCCCTCCACTCCTTTGACTCGGGTGCCACCCGGTCCTCGCCGCCGCACAGCTCGCAGATGGCGGCCCATGCCTTGGGCGCGTATTCGGAAGCATCAAAGGTGCGGTGATGAGGCATGTTTGTTACCTGCTTCCAGGTTGACTTGTCGTTGGGGTCCATGCCCAGTCGAGTCCAGACGTCCTTGGTGACCCATTCTGCTTGTTCCTTTGTGAAGCAATTGCTCAGCTTCAACCAGCCTGTCGTTCTAAAGTGCTCCTTCTGGGCGTCAGTGAGCGGTTCTATATTGGCAGACATAGCTGTGGACAGCAGTGAACAAAATTTGCGATTCTTGACCACAGTGTCTAAGTGGGTGTGTTATCCAAAAGGGGGAGAGATAGTAAAGATGGGTCTATAATGGTGCAGTATATCCTACTACGGTTAATTGAACGCAGACAACATATTGAACCACAAATCACTACCAGAGATGAACTTCGCCTATTTATATTTCGTACCCAGTAAAGGGCAGAGATTCCGGGTGTCTGTATGGGCCAACGCTAAAGCTTCTGTTGTGCGGGGGAGCTCAAGATTAAACGCATTTAGGAGGATATGCAGAGTAGATCGCCGACTCAAAAGGCGTACCGGGAAAACAACCTACAAGGCGTCAAACTACAACCCGCCGCGCCGGCTAAATTGACTTTATGGGGCCGGAGTCCGGCCTCCCGTATTGAAAATACCGATATACACTGTGTCAATGATGCTTTCAACCGGATAAAACCAAGGGCGTCGAGGGATCTGGCAGTCAGTGATAGATGGTGGGGGTAACGCCCTCTGATTGGACACAGACCACCCTTCACCGAGCGCCTTCGGTCACGATTGCGACGATAACAGCCGACCGAACTTTCTCAGCCATGGAAGTCACTTGCTCGGACGCGACTCTCAACTTCTTCCAACCCATGTCAGCCCCCACCATAACCTCAAAATATGCCTCCCGATCCGACCATAGACGACGAAGAGTACGAGTCCTCTCAGGACTCGGATTTTGCGCCTGAAGAGGCAGCCGCAGCCGACGATGGCGCCTCCGAAGCGTCCGACTCCGAGGCCGACGATGGCGAAGACGCAGCAAAGACAACGACCAAGCGCAAGCGCGATGCCGGCGGCGACGAGGCTGCAGACTTTGAAAACTCGGGCGATGAGGCCCTGATTAAGAAGGCAGCGAAGAAGAAGCTCAAAAAGGCTGCGAGGGATGCGGCCGCTGCCCTGGCCCTAGGCGTGGATGACGAGGGAGGCGAAGGAGGGTTGGTGAAGACGCGGAGTATGCGGGCTGCAGAGTGAGTGGACACAGCTTTTTCCTTCCTGGCTTCTACCAGGAGTCGCTGACAGTCTGTGTCACAGAAAAGAAGAGCGCAAAGTCGCGGCCGCATCTGGCCCTGTAACGGTCGACGTCGATGCCCTTTGGGCACAAATGCTCTCCGGTCAGAAGGCGACAGCAGCACCAAGTGGCGAGAACGAGACCGGAGGCGGAGGAGAAGCCGATACCACGCCCATCGCCGCGGCGCCTGACACGAACAAGCTAGACGAAGCCCAGGCAGGCGACCCGTCAGACACGATCCGTATCAAGCGAACCTACAACTTTGCAGGCAAAGTCCACACCGAAGAAAAAGTCGTAGCACGCTCTTCAGCCGAGGCAAAGCTCTATCTCGCCTCCCTCGGCAAGGACGCCGCCGCCGCGGAAGCCGCGGAAGCCGCGGGTGCAGACGCCGACAACGAGGACGGCGAACCGAAACGCGTCCTCAAGAAGGCGTTCCGTTCGGCCTTTGAGCCCGTCATTGAAATTGTCAGCCAGCGCTCGGATCTGAACCTCGGCATGACGGTGCGGATCAAGGCGAGGGAGAAGGAGGCGCAGGCCAAGAAGCTCAACACGGTGCAGAAGAGCAAGATGGACTGGGCCGGGTTCGTGGACAAGGAAGGGCTCAAGGACGAACTCGAGCTGGCGGGCAGGGCCAAGGGTTCGTACGCCGAGAGGCAGGATTTCCTGGCGCGCAGCGAGGCCAAGAGGGAAGACGACGCGCGGCGGGCGAGGATGGCTGGCCGTGTGCAGTGAAACCCCTTTTTGCGTTGTTGTGTTGTTGTTCTTCACCTTACGTGTCTTCACGGTGGTCTTGGGTATTGGATACGGCTTGGCTTTTTATTCATGGAGATAACAAAAGAGATACCCCCTAAACAAATATCAGACATAATTTATACACGACCAGACTACAGCTTTGCAGTCGCCTTGCCTCCAGGCGGCAAGATGGCAACGTCCTGGTAAGGGACGCCCAGGTACTCGTAAATGAAGTGAAACCTATCGCTCCCGAAAAACGGCTCGCCCTTACCCTGCTCATTCACAGCCCAAAACCACGGCGCGCCAAACGCACCATGATCAATCGCCTCCTGCGTCTTAGTCTTGACCGAGTCCTTAATCTCCTGCGACCCTGCTCCTTGCAAAATCCTCTTGACGTCCGCCTCGCTGAACAGTCTCTCCTGCGTGTTGCTGCCGCTGGCGGGAGGCGGGTACTGCTTGGGCGCGTCCGCAATCGCTTTGGCCAGGACGTCGGGCTTCGTGAGGTTGAGGTTGGGCGGCTCCCAGAAGCAGTGGAGGAACCAGTGCCACGCCGTCTGGTACGTGGCGTCTGGGTAGTTTGCTTTGATGAAGTGCAGGGCGCGGAGGGGGGCGACTGTCATGCTTCGCTCCATGAAGCTTTCGGGCGTGGTGATGCCGGGCTTGCCTGCTCGGGCGGAGGAGCGGCGGGCGTCAAAGGTGCCGTACTCTGCCTTAGCTGGGAGTGTCCATGGTGGTTTGTTTCCTAGGCGATGAGTGAGTTGAATTATTATTAAATTCCTAAGACACCTAGATAAATATACCTGAAGCAGCGTTGATGGCGCCAAGGAGAACAGGGTGAATCCTAATGGGGTATGTTGGTCAGTGACTGTAGTTGAGAGGGTCATTTGGTAGGCCAAGGGGACGAACTCTATTTGGACTCCGTGGGCTGCGAGAAGTTCCTGGTTGTTGATAATATGAGTGAAGGCGATATAACTATACAGCGATGCTGATAACTATCATCAGTCAAGCCCTTTGGTCCTTGAAATGCCTAGTACACTGTTAGACTCACCAATGTCTATGTAAGCATCAATCTTGCCGCCCATCTTGGCGGTACTCGGACACCAAAGTTGTAGTGATGTTTGCGATTCGGGCTTATTGACGGACAAGAACGTAATAATCTCCGTCGCACACTCGATGACGCAATCTTTGTAGTAGATGTTGAATAGAGGTTGATCAAGACAAGTTGATGAAGTGGACTTGAGGTGGATGGTGTGGGGAACCTCGGCACAAGCCAGTGGGTGTCTGGGGTACGGATAAAGCTCCAGTCTCTTAGCTTCAAGCTCAATCGGGGAGGATCACTAATACACGTTCACGTACCGAGCCCCGACGGCATGTGTACGAGGTCTCACATAACCTTGCGCAACTCAAGGCTTATATACTGTGTTGCGCTACGATATCTAAGTTGACGTGGATTCTAAGACTTGATAAAACATCATATCTGAAATACTTTTCATCACGTTACATGATTGTTAATCCCCCAGTCACATCCCACACGTAGAAGAGAACACACACTTCATTCTTCTCAGCTTACCTTATCCACACATAATGGGCGAAGCCAAGCAGGTAGCTTTAGTAGTCGGTGCCTCGAGAGGCATAGGTCGACAAATCGCCATTGACCTCGCGAAGAATGGTTATGCAGGTACTGCCAATTCCTCCTGTCTTCTCCATTCAAAGCATCGAGTAGCTTACGCTTATTATCAGTCGTCGTTGCTGCAAAGACCATAAGCGACGCATCCAAGGCCAACCATTTTCCACCGAATCCCAACTCAAATGATTCAACCATCAGCACGGTAGCCCGTGAAATTCACGAGGCCGGCGGCGACGCAACGCCCATCGCTGTCGACGTCCGAGACCAAGACAGCGTCACACGGCTCATCGAACAGACGATCAAGGTATCCATCCATCAAACTTCTCCTCGTTATACCGACAGTGACCCTTTCTTCACCTCGTAGTCCTTCCACAAGTAACATCCACTGATACAAACCTTCTCCTCCCCCAGATCTACGCCCGCCTGGACGTCCTTGTCTACAACTCGGGCGCAATCTGGTGGGCCTCGGTTGAAGACACGCCCCCCAAACGCTTCCAGCTCATGCAACGCGTGAACCCAGAGGGCCTTTACCTGACCCTCCACGCCGCGCTCCCGCACCTCAAGCGCGAGCGGCGCGGCCGCGTTGTTGTAGTCAGCCCGCCCATCTACAGCCGCTTCTTCCGGGGCAAGACGGCCTACGCCATGGGTAAAGTCGGCATGAGCGTCTTAACCAAGGGCCTGTCAATGGACCTCGTCCGGCAAGGGTTAGAGGACATGGCCATTACGAGTATCTGGCCCGCCGCGGTATGTTGTCTTTTTTTCTCTATTTTTCCCTTCTTTAATCTTCTTTTTTGAACGAAAGCCTGCTGCTTGGATCTTTGTCAATGTTCCATAAATAAGCATGGTGTCTCCAGCCATGCTCAATCTACATCGAACTCCGTAAACTAACAAGAGTCCATCCCAGGCCATCGAATCCGCAGCAACCCAAAAATTCCAAGCCGCAAACGCAGACGAATCAAAGGACCTGCGCAAGCCCACAATCTTCTCCGACGCCATCCTCGAGATCCTGCGCGCGCCCGCGGCAAAAGTCAACGGCGAGCTCGTCCTCGACGAAGACTTCTTGCGGGACCACGCCGGCGTCACGGACTTTTCAAAGTACTCTCTCGTTCCCGGAGCCCAGCCACGGAGAATCATGCCCGCGGAACTGCCCGATCTGCGCGTCAAGGAGCAGGACGACGAGGGGAAGAGGTATGATAGCGCCAAAGCTAAGCTTTGAGATGGAGGGAGTACTTTGGGTTAGCTATCTTATATGGAAATATAATGGTTTCGTGAGAAACATGATAATGCTGTATCACTTTGATGTTGAAATTGAAGGCATGTAGCGTCGTCAACGTATGGAAACTAGGTGCCTGAACCAGAGAGATCGAACAAGTCATGCCACTATCCTCTCCATGATAGTCGAAAGAAATGCACAGAAAAGCTTCATCAGGAAACACAGTGCAATGCAATTTTGTCTATTGCCTACCCCATGCTACACAGAGTAGGATGCGGTGGATTCTCAATATAATGCACTTTATCACAAGAAAAAAGGGGTCGTCCCGTCGCTCACAAATTAGACCATTGCCGGTTGCCCTCCCCTCTCACCTCCAACCCAACCAGCCCCACTCCACCGTCAACCTGTGTTTTCCGCCGTGGATGCCGGAAAAGAAAAAGACTCAAGACAGTGGAGGAAATCAAAAGTAATTCAAGGAAACGTGCTATGGTACAAGTCGTGGGGAGCATTTGCTGTCCGGCTTCGCATGTCCCCTCTTTTATGCTTGCTGGCTCTGCTGGAACAAGCCCTGGATGCTCTCAATGTCGCTAATGGTCTCGTTGAACACGTTGGTCAGGTCGCCGAGCACCTTCATGCGGTTCCACTCATGCCTCGTGTTCCAGATCTCGTCCATGAGCTCACGGTTGATCTGCTCCAACTGCTCAATAGTGCAGCCTGATGTTCTCTCCGTCAACTCGTCCAGGAATTGCTCGACCTGGCCCTCGTGGATGACGGGTTGCTGCTGCGAAGATGACGAACCCGAATTCCTGATGTCCTCGCTTATTGAGTCATTGAGAATATTGACCAAGGGCATAGCGTGCTTCGAGTCTCCTGAGCTCCTAGACTTGTTGGGTGATGATGTCTGACTGCCAGGCGGGTGAATGATCCCACGCGCCATGCCATGGGCTTGGGAGTGTGGCCAAGCTGCGTCGCTAGAAGTGGCCTGGCTCACAGGATCCATACCGGCAGGGATCTGGGTGTCTTGCAGCTGCGAGTTGTCGCCTTGGCTGGATTGATCTGGATGGAACCCGTTTGTCGGTCCTGTCGCTTGCGTGCTCCACTTGTCTGTCGATCTGTCCGATGGATCTGACGTCTTGGTGGTGGAAGCGTCGTTCACAATCGCAGAAGGCGACATGCCCGGGGGCACTGTGGTGATGACAGATCTTTGGGATACCTGTGTAGCGCCAGTTGTCGCGTTTCCTTGAGGTGGCCATTGAGGCGGCGGCTGCATGGAGCTGTCCTGCGTCGTGTCGTCGTCGTCCACGCCGCTCATGTGCACGTCGCTTTGCCGAGAAGGGTTGGATGTGCCGTTACTTTGCTGATGGGAGCCCACGCCGCCACTCGGTCCCGGGCTCATGACCTGGAAACGAGCCATGGCATGACCAGACCCAGGAATCTGCTCGCCCAAAGTGACCGGCCCTTGTGAGTCGCTGTCGTTACCGCCACCCACATCGCCTTGAACTCGGTCGAGAATAGACTGAAGCGCCTTCTTCTTCCTCGCCTTCTCAGCTTGGACCTTAGCGCGTTGAAGCTGTCTCTGGTGCAACGCCTCCCAGTCCACAGTGCTGGTGTTACCCTCAATCGTCGCGACGTCGACTTCGACATTGCTGACAAGTTCGTTTGCCTTGAGCGTCCGCTCTTTGTCGCCAATGTTCTTGGCATCTTTGGCAAGCGATTTGATGTCCCGGAGGAAGTCCTTTGGTCGACAGTAAAAGCCGTTCGACAACCTCTCCTCAATGGTTGTCGTTTCGAGGTTGTAGAAAGTCTTGCCAGAAACTGTCTCGCGTAGCACGTCAACATCGTACTTATCCTTCACGATCTCAAAAGGCCGATGCTCGATGCCCGCTACGTCGGGGCGAACATAGTTGGGATCCTTTTCGAGGAAGAGGTAATCCAGCTGACCGGGAGTAAGGACGGGTTGCCTGAACTTCTTGTACTTCCTGTTGATCTGGTCCATAATTGGCTGCAATTGCACCTTCAAGATATTGAGCAACTGGTGGTCGCGTTTCTGCATGGCCTTGATCTCTTCCTTGGTGGGTACTTTCGGTGGCGGCGGCGGAGCAACGGGGAGCTCCTCCAAGACTCTCTTCTTCCGATTGGCAGGATCAGGGAAGTCAGCCGGACTCTTGCGAATATGGTCGACAATGGAAGCAAAATATTCTCGCCGATTTGACTAGTGAAATTAGCAAAGATGTCGCCATAAACCTTCATCTGTTGTACTCACATGCTTCGGCCGCTGGATCTGCAATCGGTTTTTACGGGAAAAGGCAAAAAGCTCTCGGACGAGCTCAGGTGCAAGGTCTTCCCCAGCTTCATACTCAGCCGTTGCAAGCACCAAAATGGGATCCGTAGGCGGTATAGATTTGAGCATGTTCTTGAATGTGATGAATGGTAGCGTGTCTCTCATAGCGGCATACCACGATTCGATGCTCGGGATGTAGATGACACTTGGCTTGTGTCTCTTCACTTCAGTGAACAAACTGACAATCACCTGTTCCATGGGCTGCGAGATGTTAGTGACGCAGACATCAATGGGATGGGAATGAACCTACCCGTCCATCGGCCAGTAAGTTGGGAAGCCCAAAGTTCTGAACGTGTACACCTTCGAAGTAGTGCAGCAGGGCAGAGGACAAGTAGCTCTGGCCCATGCCTGAAAACCCGTGGATCAGGAATCGCGGGCGGAAGATTCTAGACCGCTCAAACTCTTGGTGCAGAGCTTCTCTACCGAAGCCGTGATCCTCATCCTCGAATTGCTCGAACATGGCTTCTTCCAGCGCTGTCAGCTTCTTCTTACGAGGCAAAACATCGTCCAGAGCCCTCTTGATCGATGTGAACTGGTCTCTAAGCAGTGGCTCGATCCCCTTGGGCAAAGGAGCAGCGCCTGTGCCGGCGGACCTCTCAGACGACGGAATCATCTTCTTGATCGACAGCATGAAATCTGTCGCGTGGATGTTGATCTTGTCAGGATTGACGATGAGCTTGTCTTTTGACGAGTAGACCTGAGGGTATGTCCTCTGAATGGAGTTGAGAGCAGCCTCCGTGCAGAGAGCACGGAGATCGGCACCACCATAGCCCTTGGTGTTTTCGGCAAGCTGTTGCTTGAATGGCTCTGAGAGACCCCAGTCCTTGGTGTGGATCTCAAGAATGGACCGTCGACCGGCCACGTCTGGGAGTGGAAAATAGAACTCTCGATCGAATCGCCC